TTTTTATATTCCTCCTGCTATTTTTTTCCACTAATTGAAATGTCTTTAAATCCACATTAACATGAATTCAACAGACTGCAGTAAACAGATAAATGGAGGCAGAAGATGTCTTTCAGTCATCAATGCTCACATTCAGCGACACACAGGAGCTCTTTCAAGCTGGGCACCGTTTCATTCACAACACCTGTCCCAACAACCAGGAATCAGAATAAGAAATACCTTAATAATCCCAGGGCAAAATTACTTTTGTTACAATACTAATATTTTTAATAGAGTGGCTATAGGACCAGTTTGATATAACACAATTTCATACAATTAATTAGGGGGTCCCCACTCCATCTCGCCATCAGTTTGGGGGTCCTTGGCCTGGAAAACGTTGAAGACCCCTGGCCTAAGAGATCAATAGACTTTGGTTCAAATTGTTCGAGATTTCGTATATCCAGGCTGTTTATGAACATTTTGGGGGCTGGAAAACGTGAGTCAGTGACATTTGGCAACCCTGCTGATGTGGTGAGTGTGGACGTTAAACACAAGCAGTCACTGTCGCATCCGTGTTAATAACCAAAGCCAGTAAAACCGCATTATAGAAGTCTTAGTGATGGTTGTCGTGTGATGCTTGAAGATAGATCGGTTAATCCACAATGTGTATTCGTATTGTGTTTCACATTTGAGACGCACGCGTTTAAATGCATCGTGGTAGATGGAAAAAGGCCAGGGCAGAAAATCTTTCCCAGTCTTAACCTGTATTAGATCAATATATGTTACAGCCAAATGCTTGATTTATGATTGAATATTTTATTATTTCTAGTTTACCATTTTTTGTCTGATTTGGTATGATGTATATGAACATGAAATGTTTTGGTTTGAAGTATGAGTTGACTTAATTATGAAATAATGAATCGGCCACTGGTATGGTGGTATAGCCCTTAATGCAGCAGTGCCTCTGCAGATTGGGATTTGGGTCTGCAGCCACCAGGTTAACTTAGTCTTTGATGCTGGAGGTTTATTCCCATTAAAAGGGAATTTTTCCTCTCCACTGTCGCTACAAGCATGCTTAGTTTGAGGGATTGCTGAAGAGTCAATGAGTCGATAAAATCAATTAATTTTCCTTAGATAGAAAACTTTGAATCAATCTGACTGGATGATGTGGTGAACTGGAAAGTGCCTTGAGATGACATGTGTTGTGAATAGGGTTGTCAAAAGTATCGATACTCAAATAAGTATCGATACTAAAATGTTGTATCCGGATTCAATACTTGTTTTTAAAAGTATCGATACAGTGCCACCGCCAGTGGCATCTAAGCAGTCATTCATCTAGAGTGCAGAATAGAGGACAATGCACTTTCAGGACACTGTGTGATTGAATAATTCTACGCACTTTTCAGTTTCAGAATTTTTTTTTGTAATAGGTGCAGCTGCTGAGAATTATTTTTGTTTCTTAACCGGTTTGGTTAGTGTCATTGTTATGTGTGCAAAGCATAGCCAAGTAAGGAACCCTTAATTTTAATTTTAGAAGTTTTTTATCAAGCTTGCTTACTATTGTGCACAGCATACAACCTTTATTGTGTTTATTTATTGTATTTTATTTATTAATGAAAATATTTCTGTAGAATTTTGGAGTTTTTATCCTTGTGGTATCGAAAATGGTATCGAGTGTCGAATATTTTCCTTAGTATCGGTATCGAGTTGAAAAGTTTAGTATCGTGACAACCCTAGTTGTGAATTGGCACTATTATAAATAAACTGAATTGAATTGAATCAGCTGATTCATGTTCTCATCATGTCGTCTTCCATAATGGTGCCTTTTTGATGTGACTTGCCCAAGATCAACCCTGAAAGAGGATGAGAAAAGCATGAAGCAGTTTCTTTGTCCTTAAAGCACCATGTGGGGCAGGATCATACGCTCCTGTCTAGGAAAGTGTCTGAGGTGACTCACAACAGCAGAGTGAAACTGCATCCTCCTACACAATGATTACGGTTAGTATCAGAATTGGTCCCAAATATCCAAAATTAATATCATGGTTTATTTTCCAACATAAAGGGTTTGTTTAGAGAGAAACCGGGGTAATAAATACATATCTTTATAATAAACCTTCTCTGTTCCCTACTAATAAATGCTTCTCATTAAAGTTCAGGATTGAACTGAGGGAATATCCTGATCAGATCTCCAAGCCTTCTCAGATTAACTAACTGCACCACATTAGCATCTCTAAGCATTAGCCTAAATAATCCGTTTTGCCCTGGGAAGGATTTTGTTTTTCCCTCCACTATATTTTTTTTCACATATAGTGGAGCAATTTTCCTGTTAGGAGACCTCTCATTAAAGATACAAATAAAAATCTTTAATAAAGAACACATAGTGTAACACGAAGTATTCCCCTTTCATTAACCATGTTTTTTTTTTTTTTCCTGTATTCAAATCTTATGCAGTAGTAAAGGCTACTACACTCATCCAGTCCCAAGACCTGGGTTCACTGAATAAAGTAAAAGTGAACAATCATGGAGGACGAGTCTGAAAAAACACAGGAAAACAATCTAAACAAAAATAACTAATAAAAAAAAAAAAGGTATGACAAGACTTTTGTTCTTTTTAAGCCAAATATTCTGGCTACACTTTTAACTTGGCAAACAAGAGTCTTTTTATATTTTGGATCAATAATGATTTAATGAAACCCTTTCAACAGAAGTCACACTAATTAAATTCTTATATCAGGGTTGAGATTGTTGAGCAGCTGTTTTATTCCTTGAAAGTAAAATTGGTGCAGGTGTCGTGAAGAAACAGCGCCCCCTGGGGTCAGAGTGTGACTGAATCAGGTCCCTGGGAAGGAATGTGGGAAATATAACATTCATGGTATAGAGCAGGGGTCTCCAACGTGGTGCCCTCAAGAACCACATGGGGGGCCCTCAGAGTCTTCTAAATAAAGAACAACCCACCAGTGGGCTAAGTTTGAAATTTTATTTTATT